GGGTTTTTTTTTTACACCCCCCCCCCCCCCCCCCCAATCAAATTTTATGGGCAAACAAGACAGTCATTTTTAGCTAGGAGTTCCAAGGGAACATTAATCAATGGCTCTTGTTACTATAGAGTTGGTTAACAAACGGCAAATTAAAGTCGTGTTGGGTCGAAATATGAATTGTTTTTCATCATTTTGTTCGAATCCTTATCATGTTTAGTCGAACTAGTAAAAGGGTCAAAGATTAAATCTATCAACTTTCACAATTGTAATTTTTTAATTTCTCTTGTAAAGGGCCAGAAAATGAAATGGAAGGAACACTAGAACAGGTCACACTAGAACAGGTCAAAAACATTTCTTTTGTGGGTAAGTAGCTCAAACTATCAGAAGTGAGTAGCGAGTTTAGTGCAAAGTAGAAAAAGTCATTAAACAATCAAAAGCGTGCAAGTCAATTATTTCCCCATTTTCAACAAAACCCCCATACAAAAAGCTATAAAATTCAAGAAAATTGATAGGCAATAAGTACATAGAAATCAAGAAAATTGAGAGGAAAAGCCATGGCGTTATCTGTATTACTGAAACGAACGGGGTTGATGAAGTCAATGGTCAACAACTTCGGGGCATCAAGGGCTTACGCATCGGTTGCAGTGGGCACGGACTTGATATCGGCTGCACCAGATGTCTCTCTCCAGAAGGCTCGCTCCTGGGACGAGGGGGTTTCTTCCAAGTTCGCCACCACTCCTCTCAAGAACATTTTTAAGGTCCCAAATCAAAATTATTGTTTAAATTTTGAGGTTTTGAAAATTATTTTTAATTTTAGTTACAACCGTTTGAAATACTGTATTTCACTATCTTTTTGGTTTTTGTTGTATTGTGATTTTCAGGATAAAAAAGTTGTCATCTTTGGCCTCCCTGTAAGTTATTTATTTTCATCTCCATTCTTTAATTTATCTACACGCAAGAAGAAAGAAAATTCGTAAACGTATTTTTTTTTTTTTTGGGAAAATCAGTGCGTAATTTTTCCTTATTTTAAGAGAAAATGGAAAATTTAGGAAGATGGCATTTGGCATTTTAGTGGCAATAGCTTCACTTAGAAAATAGAAGTGATTTCCGTTATTAATTTATGATTCTTTTAATGAAGGAAAGATTTAAACCATTTTTGAATGACAGTGAAGTACTGTAATGCAATGGTAGTTTGAGTCCTTGTACATATTTATGGAGTTGGTGATAATTATTGAGTTGTAATGCTAGTGTTCATTGGCGGAATCCGGCCTATGCACGTAAACGCCTGAGTTTCTTCTATTATAAGTTCTCCTATGCAGTCAGCCGTTATTATCAATCTCTTCTTTAGTGCTAATGCTTATTTTTGTTCTGGTGGTGATGAAATATATATCTATCTTATGCTTAAATTGGGGGAAAAAAAATAAAAAAGGGTTCAGGGGTTTCCTACAGTTTTATTACTTCTTTACATATTTTCTGTTTTTGATTAACAAGACATAAATTACTGAGAAATTATTTAATCCGCCCTATATTATAATCGAAGATTGGAATCAGAAGGTTATACAAACTAGGATATTAGGGAGCTTTTTTTTTTTTTCATGCGTCTTCTCATGTTTCTGTTTTTCATGTTGAACCAATCACAAGGGTGCCTACACTGGAGTTTGTTCGGCTCAGCATGTGCCTAGCTACAAGAACAACATTGATAAGTTCAAGGCAAACGGAATTGACTCGGTGATATGCGTTGCTGTTAATGATCCCTATGTAATGAATGGCTGGGCCGAGAGACTTCAGGCTAAAGAAGCTGTAAGCTATTATTTTCTCTTACTTTTCTAACCCACACAGGATACAAGTAGTGAAATGGGTGAAGTTGTTTTGAGATTTTATCAGTAATTCTGCATCAACAGAAATGAAATTTGTTGTGAAAAATGTAATTACTTGGTAAGGACTCAAGTGCCGCACTTTTAACAGTTTTAAGGAAGAAAACAAACTAAATCCTTTTTTATTTTATTGCCGTGTCCTATCTAGTACTGTATGTCAAACATTCGCTCAAGGTATCTTGTGCAAAAAATGAAAGTAATTTGCTTATTTTCTCTTTCTGTGGCTATTATTTGTACTGCCTTTAGGATTTGGTTATTCATTTCTGTACCTGGCAAACTTGTATAGGGTTTTCATTTCTTGACTTTATATAACTTCCCACTTATATGTTCTGCTTATGAGGAGAATGAATGAAGCTTATATAATTCAAAAACTCATCTTATCTTATAATGCAGATTGAATTTTACGGAGATTTTGATGGGAGCTTGCACAAGAGTATGGACTTGATGATAGATCTATCCTCTGCTTTACTGGGACCTCGATCTCATAGGCATGGATTCTCTACCCTTGTTTCTATCGAATAATTGCTGTTTTTCCATCGTAGTTTTATGCTTCAAGAGGAACTGACACTCACCTTTTTCTTGCACAGGTGGTCAGCTTACGTGGTTGATGGGAAAATCGAAGTCTTCAACTTGGAAAAAGCTCCATCGGAATTTGAGGTTTCTGGTGGAGATGTTATTTTGGGACAGATCTAGACCAATATTTCCTTGGCAGATGATGGGCTAGTCTTTCCAGTTTTTGTATATTTCCATTTGCCATACCGGATGAGCACAAGTGGTATCAGCAATATGAGAAAATAAGTATCTAAAATACATTATGATCAATAAATGTGTACTTGTATAATGCTTGATGTTGCTCTCCCCGGCTTCACTGAATATAAGGTGGTTGATCTTCATTCTGTTTAATCTCGAAATTATTTCCCAGCTAATATTTTCTCAATCCCTCCGTTCTAAAGATGTCTATCTCCCTTGTGATTTTGTTGATTATATCAATTTGATGGCTAACTTGATTATATTTCAATATCATGTTTGTGTGCCAACAGTTGGCCAGAACTACCATTGGCGGACCCACAGTGGGTCCTGGTGGGTCAAGTGACCCACCAACTGAAAATTCAGTCTTTCTTCTTTATTTATTTATTATTATTATTATTTTTTAAATGGAATTGAGGATATGATCAAGTACTCCAATTTCAATCTAGTTTAGGCGATTTTATGGTAATGGATTCTTGTTGTGATTT